CGGTGCCATCCCAATTGAATCGGTGATCACACTCAAAGGAGTGCGCAAATACAAGTGATAAAGGGTCCCGTCTGCGAACGGCTAACTTATGTTCCTTGATGCGAGTCTCAAGACGTCCGCCTGTTTGGCCAATATAAACACAAGGGTAACCGGCGCACGGTATACGGTAAATGACGTTACTTAGTTGTTCTACGCGTAGAGGGTCCTTTACTCGACATAGGCTTGCGCGCAGTCTGGATGCGGGCTTGTGGGCGACGGAGATGCCGAAACGACTTAGTTGCCAAGAGATGATTTCGGATATTCCATTATCCTCATAAAGCTAATTTTATTATACATCCGCGAGGACTGAAACCCGCGTACAGCATGAAAAGTCGCAGTCCTCCACCATACGTGCTGCCTGTAGCTACGTAGGTAGTCTGCTCCTAACGCATATGAATCGCCCACTGTCCAGGCTGCCAGCACCGCTTTGTGAACATAGGCCTGTAGGACAAGGTAAGAGCCTCCCACCCCCGTACCCACTTCAGGTTTTCTTTTTAACATTGTAGATTCCAGGAATGCCGTTCATGTCAAAGCAGGTAGACTACAGCAGGAGTGGACGGCCACTAAAACGCAAGTCCCAGGGTTCGGATTACGTGGAGGAAGGGCAGTCAAATTTCGACTATGACGTGGGGCCTGCTCCACCTTCGCTTCAGAGTACTCTGAACGAAATATTATTAGGCCCCCCCACAGGTAGTGTTAACATGCTCCTTCTTTTAAAAAAGTTTTAGCTACGAACTCGGCTGTCGCGTCTCCAGCTCCGCCCACGTCCCAGCACACGGGCAGTCCCGATGGGCTGCCCACTTTGCTGTCAAACATTCAAAATGACCTGCGTGACGTAAAGGCTAAACTGGCCGTCATGGACGCAAAGGTGAATGCGGCCTTGAAGAACCAATTTCTATGCCGCCAGTCCAGACGGAATGCCCTGTACCGCCGGCTGAATTTGATGCCTTTGAGGAACGCCTCTTAGACACCAAATAGAAGAGGGAAAACTCGTAGCGCCTGCTGTGCCAGTATTTGGTGTCCAGGAGGCGCTCCTCAAAGGCATCAAATTCTTCCATTGAGGTCATCGGCGAGGGAACCGGGCACTCCGTCCGAGCTGGCGGCATTGATATGGGTGCTGCAGATAGGTTTGTCTGCGTCGCATCCCACTTGGCGTTCATGAGGGCCAGTTGTGTCACGTAGCTCATTTTGGATATTTGACATCCAAGTGGTTAGCCCATCTGGAGTGCCCGGCCCGTACGACGACTTATGCCGCCCCCCCTCCCCTTTGTTCCATGATTCGCAAGCTCCCCAGCCCTTTCCCGCATGTGCGTCCTACCCTCCCACCAGCAGATGACATTAAAATAAGTGGTTCGTAGTATAGAAACGTGGGTGATTTATTTACAAAATGTGGGGAATTATATACAGGGGAAGCAGTATTCCACTATTCAGTGGCACTGCGAAGTTTAGCAAAGCGATCCTCCATTTTCTGTAGGCGATGGTGTTTCGCAACTGCGGATTTCAACAAGGAGCGGACGGCCTCCTCGAAGTCCGTCGGCCGTGTGGGGTGGGTCTCCGCCCACGTTCCAAAAAACATC